CAGTGAGAGAGAGAAGGGGTGGAACTAAGCTGGAATGGAATTGTTCAAGGTCCTGTCCAGCTGGAGGGATAAGGAAACCTCAGCAGAGAGAAGTTGGAAGTGTTGGTGTGTCGGAGTGGTGGGGGGAACTAGCGACCACGGGCTGAGAAAGGAGTCTTGGCAACTCAGGTAGAATATGTTTCTGCTTGAGTCGAGGAAAATGCAAGGGAAGGAGCCTAACAGGAAACCTCCAAGGGGTTCTCAGAAGCACTTTATGGGAAAAACGGGAAACAGCTTTCATCAGCTGCAGGGCCCATAAAGCACAGTACTACCCACCTAGAGAGTATTGTCCTCTACCTCTTATCCTTCTAAGCCTTCCCCACGAGGACCTTGCTGAAGAGTAACACAAGTGGTAGGGGAAGTCAGCAGGACCGGGCTTCCTGTTCTGAGAAGCAGGTGCAAGCTGGTGAAGGGAAGAACATGTTATACCAATTTTGACATTTTGATAATTACAGGAAGCCGGACTTCATATATTCTGAATTGAGAGTGTTTGTTACTGAAAGCAAATGTTGAACTGTTTCCTAAGAGTAAAGGAAAAGTCGCAAGCCTGCAGAAGAAAGATTACCACAGATAAAAGATTACACCATGGGGTAATGCTTAAAGGGATGGTGGGAGATAAAAACTAAATTGTGTTCTGATTCCAAACTACACATTGAGCTTGTTCAATAGGTCAGTTGCATAAGGAAAAGCAGTCATTCTCCTTCCTTAATGCTCCAGTAAATCATAGAAATAAGTCATCCAGGTCAGAAAGTTTGTTCAGTTTTGATTTTTATTTTAAATATTATTTAAACCCTCATGAATTGTGGAACATCCTGCCATATTTCATATGCTTTTGGATGATAAAGTTTGGATCATTGATCATAAGGCGGTGATGGAAACTCATAGATCATTGTGTCTTTTTTTTTTTTACTTTTTATTTTGTATTGGAGTATAGTTGATTAACAATGTTGTTATAGTTTCAGGTGTACATCAAAGTGATTTAGTTATACATATACATGTATCCAGTGCTTTTCAAATTCTCTTCCCACTTAGGTTGTCACATAATATTGAGCAGAGTTCCCTTGTGTCATTGTGTCTTAACCCTTCATTTTACAAATAAGGAAACCGTGGCATAGAGAGTTTAAATGACTTGCCCCGAACACCACTGCTGGTTAATAGCAAAACAGCTTCTGACGTGCCATGCTTCCTTTTCTGATCCACTCCAAAATTTCCACAGTCTGCTGTAGCTACACCCCCAGTCTGAAAGGAGTCTGAAAATATAAGAGAAGTGGGCAGTTTTCCTAACAATACTAATCAGACATTGCGGTCTTCTCTAAGTGTCAGAGAGGGTCTCACAAAGCAAACTTTTAGAGCGTGTAGGAAGTTAATTACCTTCCTCTGTGATGCATTAGTCAACGGTCCTTGTAACCTGCGGCTATTTAAAGTACAACTTGTATTTAGTAGCATGGATTCAGAAGACTTTAGACATTAATATATCTAAGAGAGCCTATTTTATCTAGTTTATTACATTTTCCTCTGACATGCTTAAAGCTCTTTTAAAACCTATCTTGTGTTTAGTTAAAAACAACAAAACAGATTACAGAGAAAGAATGTTTTGATTGAAATTAATGATTACTTAATAGGTCTCCTTCAAAGGAACATGAAAATGGGGCTTACATATTTAAGAGGTTTCTGAGATGAAATGGCCTAGGTTTACAAATACAGGATTGAAGAAAGGATTGTCTGATTCCAAATAACTCTCTTAAAAATCTACTGCAGTACCGCTGTGTGTATCCATTGCTTTAAGGTAAAACATTGTCACCTAAGAATTCTCGGAAAATACAAATATGTGACGTCAACACTTCCCAGTGTTCCTCAGTGAGGATATGGTGTTAAGGGATTTAATTTTTAAGATGGGAGATAAACATTGGGTTTGTATGATATAAAAAGTAATACACACACACACACACACACACACACACACACACACACAAAGTAATACAGTGCTCAGAATGACAGTGTAAGAATCTCTGAATTTCTGCTCCTCTATAAAAGCAATGAGAACACTTGCAAAAATCAAATTCAACTTTTTCAGGATTCTGGAAAATTCCTGCAAAAATCTGAGGAATGTTTATTCAAGAAAAATAGATAAATCTCAGTAAAAAAGGGAGTTTCGTGATGTTTTAACTTGCCTTATTCTCATCTCCTTCTCCCCCGCTCATGGTAGCTGTGAAAACCTAGCAGTGAGCCCCTGGAGAGGGGTAGAACAAATCAGGAGCCACGAAAAAAAGCCCCATTCCCAAGAATTGTTATTATCTGATTTGTGTGACAGCTACCTACGAACCCGAGCTTACAGGGCTTGTCTTTATCTGACCAGACTAGAGCTTACTCACTGCTACCAACATGTTCCCTACAGCATTTTTTCAAAACAACCAGTGGTGATTGTTTAATATCACAGCTGCCTAAAGTGCAATAACTGATAAGGAACACTTAAAAAGAAAGCTGATCAAAACTCTTAAAAGGAAAAGCTTGGAAATGAGATTTCAATAGTTTGAAAAGCTTTGACATATTCTAGAGAATCTAACAGACTTCACACATATGCTGGGTTGTGCACATGCTCAGGAAAAATCTGAGAAGGTCCTAACCTCTTACCTAACCTTGAGGCTGTGCACAAACAGGAAGTGAAGGCTAAAATAGAACTGTAAACTGACTGTGGAGTAATGGAGTTGTGCCCCAAACACATAGAGTCGCTTAATGAAAGCTGGGAGACTCATTGGTTCAAGGCATTTATGTAAACGGAGATTTAACCAGGGTTTGTGTTTTTCAAGTGAGTTTAATGTACTCTTGAGAGCATGTACAAGAGTGATTATTATCATGAGCTATGGAATCTAAGTGGGATAACTACTAAGTGGGAAGCAAGGATGTGAGGAGATTTATAGAGAAAGTGTGTTAAGGTTAATGGATTGATTATGTCTGGGTGGGGGGTTGAAAACTTATTAGAGTAGGAGTAGTAGAGGAAGTGGACAGGGAAACTTAGGGAGTAGAGATAATCAGAAATTGGGATGATGGAAGTTGAGGTTTTACAATTATTATTCTACAATGTCTAAGGTTTATCTCTGGTTATGAGTGGCCGGGATAGGGTGGAGGACAAGATCATTATACCAGGGAATCAACAAAAGATGATATGAAGTATTGCTGAGCCATTAAGTGCCTCATCTTTGACAATGTTTGCTTGGGGTAGAAAAAGCTGCATGTTACTGAATCTTTCCCTAGCAATGGAGACAGATGTCCATTGAAGGATACAGATCCAGGGATTAGCAAAGCAGGTCACTGAAGTTTGGAAGGCAAGGGATTCTAGGATGGTAGTAAGACAGTGTTGGTGAGGATGCCCACTGCATCTAGACCAGACCAGTCTTCTGCTATAGGAAGAGGTGCTAATGGACTGTGCAAAATGAGGCAAGTGAGGGCTGAGAGCCATAGATTTAGGTGTATATGTGGAATAATTTAGTTGTGTATGTGGAATAATTTAGGTGCGTATGTGGAATACCTTAGGTGCGTATGTGGAATAATTTAGGTGCATATGTGGAATACCTTAGGTGCATATGTGGAATAATTTAGGTGCGTATGTGGAATAATTTAGGTGCATATGTGGAATAATTTAGGTGCGTATGTGGAATACCTTAGGTGCATATGTGGAATAATTTAGGTGCATATGTGGAATAATTTAGGTGCATATGTGGAATACCTTAGGTGTGTATGTGGGGTCCTTATTCTTCCTAAGAAACGGGTTCTGATTATGCTTTCCTTTCTCCCACCTAGACACCACCATTTCGTCAATGTGAAATGAAATTTCACACTGTTTTTACTTATTCTCATAGATGGGATTAACCCACTGGTTCAGCTAAAGTGTTTTGAGCTTTAAAGAATTAAAGGAGAAATTGGGGACTAAAAGTTGTCAAATTCAGGCTGAAGTCGTAAGCCTGGTGGCCCTCAATGTCCCAGAGCTGGCACAGCCTTGAGGACCCCAGCCACCAGTTCAGGAACCAAAAGGGAAGCCAAGAGATTCATTCTTTCTTTGAGCAAGTATAATGGAGTACTTTACAGTATTCAAAATCTGATTAATGAAAACTAAAGACAAACAGGGAGAGACAGAAACCAAGAAAGCATTCTGAAATATTCTTAAAATGCTCTGTAATCATAAAGCATTTGATCACAGCTGGGTTTAAATCAAGACTTTCCCACATCTGGCTGTGTGACCTTGGGCCATTTTCTTTACCACTCTGGGTGGTACTCTTTTAAAACTTACCTCAATAACGTTGTTCTAGTTCGTGAGACAATGTATTATTGGCATATATTTAAACATTTTATGATATGCAATCCCACATTTTTAAAATTAGGCAAAAAGAGAAGAGTGTTCTATTATTTTGCAAGATAAATGTAGTACGATGTTGTTTTCTTTGTAAATTAAATAATCTACCTGCAAAATATATAATTAAACTCTCCAAATATGAATGCTGGCTTGTTAGACCTTTATCTGACTTTTCAGCCACATGATGTTATCTCCTACATTGATAAGTTTGGGGATCTTTCACTCAGCACTCAAACAGACTATAGGAGTAGACAGGGATGGCAACAGGCAAAAAGAGGGTTTTTGTACCTCACCCGACTTCCTTTGTTCAGAGATCTGGGATAAATGTTGGTAAGGCTATGGTAGGCTCAGGGTGCATGGAGGCAGGGAATAAAACTAGATAATATTTCAAGGTTTCTTATTTTGATCTTAGAATAACGAGCAAGAATTTTCATTATTATATAGCAATTCGGGAAGATGGCTTTTCTGCTGATGTCTGGCATCTCCTTGGGGACTTTATGCTGATGAATTAATTGCATACATCCTTATAGTGACACTTAATTTGTCACTGTTCTGAACTCATAGACCAATGTTTTAAATGAGGTCTCTATTATTGCTGTTTCAGGCACAGAAACTTGGGTGAGGATGGAACTGTGTGGTCAGCCAAATGGACCACTGTCTAGTCAAGTGGGACAAGTGATGCTCATTTCCTGGATTGGCTGAAAATCCAACCAGGCCCTCACCAGGAAATTCGCTTCATTGCTCCACAGCCGTTCTTGGAAGAAGTTGACTTGTAAGTACCCATTTATGTGTTGATATGTACTGATTCCTCAAATGGTGCCTAGTTACTTAGCACTTTTCCCAATTGAGAGAAGGCAGTACCTGCATTAGCAAGCAGGCTAGTTTCTCCTCTTCAATGTTTGTTATCTAAGCAGCATCTTCCTTTAAAGTATTGAAATTTTCACATATGTGTCCTTTACTCTTAAAGCCAGTGTTTTCCAAGTTCTCGAACTGGCCAATCCCTTTATGAAGCAGATGGTCCAACAAGACTACCAAAGATCCCATGCAAATTAATAAAAGTAACAATCATAGAACATAATTTATTAAAATAGCTTTGGTTGTCCTTTCTTTACCTTCCCAACTCCTAATTCTTTTCACAGAGATATCCAGGTCCCTTGGGGCTTCCTTATCTTAGGAATCTTGGTAGAACTGAAAGCAAAATGACTCTCAAGTAATGGCATTTCCTGAAACTGTAGAAGAAGAAAATGTTAAGTGTCCCAGAAGAACAGCATAGTAATTGAAAGGTTTTTAAGGGCAAGGAAAGAAAAGGAAGATTGCCCAAGGCTCAGGAAGAAAAGAGCTCCCTTACTTCCTCAAGTAGGCCTGGGCTTTCTGCCTTGGAGGAGCCCCTCTAGAAGGATGGCTGCAGAGTTTATCTGGGGAAGCTGCCCCTCACTCGAGTGTAGCATAGATGATGATGGGCCTGAAGGAATCATATGGTGTTTCCATAGTAACTAGTGGGGTCTGTGGTACCAAAGCAATGTTGTGGTATTATGGAAAACCTTAAGAATCTTGACTAAGTATTCGAGTAGGAGGAGATGGAAGTTAAATAATGGCTGAAATTGAATTTTCAACCCTTTCAGAGGTGGGTGGGTACCCAAATTCAGAATTAAATGATATAAAGTAAAATCATAAAACACAATTTTTCTTACCTATCTGTTTGTGGTCTAGGATTCATTCCTACTATACTAACATTGCATATAACTTTTCAATTTTCAAAACTGTTTACTTACCCTAGAATAAGTATGTAGATAAACATTAATAGCGCCCTTGCTTCACAGATCAGGGAATTGAGAGTCAGAGAATTTGAACAATTTGCCTAAGATACAGAACCTACTAGCGGCAGAGTCAGGAATTAAGGTCACATCCACCTACCCCTAAGTTTCATATTATTTTCAACATACTATGTTGCCTTTCTAATAGAGTAACTAATGTCACTCATTAGGCGCTATTGAGGGGATGGTTGGAGTTACTTAAGTATAACTAAATTGTTAATTAAGGGTTCTGATACCCACCAAGCAATACCAGCTAGGTATCTTACAGTTCAGCTCAATTCTAACACTATTTACCTGGAAATAGTATCAGATCCCACAGGCTGAGGACTCAGTCCCACATGACTGCCCTCCAGTTTAGTTGCCAATCACAACTCAGGGTTATTACCTGTGCTTCTGATCCACTGGCTATAAATGAGAGGTTCCCACAGCCCCCTCCTTGGGTTCAATTAATTTGTTAGAGTTGCTCACAGGACTCAAAAAGTTTACTCACTAGATTTCTGGTTTATTACAAAGGATATTAAAGGATATGAATCAACAGCCAGATGAAGAGATACATAGGACGAGCTCCTGAACAAAGGAGCTTCTGTCCTCTTGGAGTTTGAGGTTCAGCATGGTGGCACATGGAAGCATTCTGATTCCCCAGCCTGGAAGCTCTCCAAACCCCTGCCTTTGGGGTTTTTATGGAGGCTACATTACATGAGCATGATTGATTAAATCACTGGCCATTGGTGATTGATTAACTTCCAGCTCCTCTCCCTTCCCCAGAAATCAGGAAGTGAGACAGAGTTTCAACCCTCTATTCATGGTTGGTTCCTGGGCAACCAGTACCCTCACCCCATCTTTAGGTGCTTTCCAAAATCACCTCATTAACATAAGCCCATTTGTAGAGGAAAGGGTCTTGTTAGGAATAACGAGACACCCATTTCACCTTTATGGCTCTGAAACGATTTCAGGAACTGAGGACTAGAGACCAAAGGTTATAACAAAAGGTGATTCCATTGCTCTTATCACTCAGGAAATTCCATGGGTTTGGGGAGCTATGAGCCAGGAACCAGGAGGAAGACCAGTTGTACATGAAAAGTATATTCCTGTGATCTGAATGACCAAATATGTGTTTCTTATAAATCACAGAATAGCACTAATTTAAGCCATAGTTAACAAAATTGGACCTCAATCACAGGTTCTCAGGGTCACTGTGGGATCAGTTTAATAGGGATTTTCTTACCCGGCTGCTCTCAGGCTTCTTCTAAGGCTCTGTGCATTCCTCCCTTCTTCAAGGAAGCTGCCCCCTCTTATTCTGCTAGCCCTTTGTTCCTTCAGCAGAATTCAACCCCACAGGTGATGCCCTCATTCTTGGAGTACTACTCCCTTGTCTTCCTTTCCACCACATTCTCCTGGATTTTCTCTTATCTTATGGGCCTCAGTGTTCTTTTTTTTTTTTTTTTTTGTACCTGAATAAAATACTGCCTTCTCTCAACATTCTTTCTGGGCCCTTTTTCTCTTCTCTGACATTTTTTGTGAGGGTAAGCTCATCAATTCCCATAACTTTAAATATTAGTGATTATATATTTGAATCCCAAAATAGTAATTCAGCTTTGTTTGACCTCCAGACACGGATTGAACCAGTTTTCCCCCACTTAATTAAATGTCAAAAGTCTTTACCACAGTTTTCAATCAGTCTGTTTTCTCCCTCACCTTTACTCATTCACAAATCCTTCAATAGGGCCTATATGTATCTCCCAAATTTCCAGTCTGTCTTCCCTCTCTAGCTCTCCTATCTCTGTTATCACTATGACCTCTCATCTGGACTTGTGCATCTGCACCCTAACTGCTCTTGCCCCTCCTAATTCTGTCTCACTGCAACGCACTGCAGCATAGCCGCAAAAATAATCCTCTTAAAACACAATCAGATCATCTGACCCTTGTGTTCTGAACCCTCCAAAATCTTCTCTCTTCACTAAAGGAAACCCAAACTCCTCACATCCCACAAGCTGCCAGTGATCTGACATCTCCTGATCCTGTCCCATGTCCCTCTCACACTCTCTCTGCCTGTTCCAGTTACACCCAACCTCCATCAGGGCCTCTGTTCATGCTGTTCCTTCTGTCCGTGATTTTGTCTTCCCCTAACTCATCCTCTGGCTGTCTTTTCTCAGAGAGGACTTCCTTGCCACCCATCTAGAATGTTCTGAACCTCAGTTTCTCATTTGCTTCCTTCTTTGGACTTATCACAGTCAAAGATTTTTCAGGCCTGTGTTTAAATACTTGATTGTACACGTTTCCACAATAGAATTTGTGTTTCATGAAGACAGGGACAAGGAGAGTCTTGTTGTTTCTCATATCCCCAGTGCTGAGCACCATGAGGGGCCCATAGAAACTTCTGGATAAATTTGTGTTGACTGCGAAAGAAGAACCCAAGCCCAACACTCAGCAGATAAACAATGGAAAATAGGAGTTCAGCTTTGGTATTGAGCTTATGGGACACTCAGATCTTGCTCCAGGTTCTATCTAAAGCAGTCCGCTTCTACTTCGTAGACAGGGAGGGAGTTTAGTCATAGCACACTGAGGGTCCATTAGATACAGAGGGGCTGGCCCCACTGGACCAGACTAGACTGTGGACCTAAGCACAGATCCCAGGGAGTTCTGTTATGTCAGATCATGTGGATGAAAGTCATACTTCCATTTAATGCAGTGATTGACACCTGTGCTGTAACCTATGCAGGTCTGTCATGTGACTATCTGTCTTCTCTGCTCATCAGTATTATGCCTTATAGCATCTTCCTGACTAGTTCAGGAATCCAGCCCTTCCCTGATCTGATTCTGTGGCTCAGCCTTTAACCATTATGACAATCAGTGTCACCTGAGTCTGCCCTGAAATAGTTTGCTGTGCCATATGGCCAATTAGAAGATTATAATGACTGATGCTTTTAAGGTCCATCTTGGCCTTGGCTCTATGTGGCCAATGAAATCATTGTTTTCAAGGAAAAATACCTGTGCGGTCATGGAGGAGTGTGCTTCATATATGATTTCTCATTGGGTTATATCTAGGACAAGTTCCTAGTCTTTTTTATTCAACGTACATGCCTATAAATTTTCAAACTCCTGTAACGTGTCTGATTTATAGAATTATGAGAGATAATACCTCTCCCATTAACAAAATTAATTTAGAATCATGGTACTCCATACAAGGGAATTTTCTCAGCAATAAAAAGAAACAAAATACTGATACATGCAGTGATGTGGGTGAATCTCATTTGCAACACACTAAGCAAAAGAAGCCAGATTCCAAAGACCACATACCGTGTGATTCCATTTATATGATATTCTGGAAAAGACAAAAATACAGGGAGAAAACAGATCAGGGGTTGACAGGGCTGGGGGTGGGTGGTACAGGGAGGATTGATCACAACGAAGCATGAGGGAATTCTCTGGGACGGTGGAACTGTTCTGTATCTTCATTATGGTTGTGGTTACACAGCTACATGCCAACCATGGTAAGTTTTTTTGTGTCAACCTGGCTAGGCTACGGTACCTAGCTACTCAACAACACTCATCTAGGTGTTGTCGTGAAGGTATTTTGTAGATGTGGCTAACACCTACAATCAGTTGACTTTCAATGAAGGAGATGATCCTTGATAATGTGGGTGGGCCTCAACCAATCAGTGGAAGAGCAAAACTGAGGTTTCCCCTAAGAACGAAAAAACAGCCTCAGGACTGCAGCATTGAAAGACAAATATCATATAATATTGCTTACATGTGGAATCTAAAAAAAAGGCTACAAATGAACTTATCTACAAAACAGAAATAGAGTTGCAGATGTAGAAAATAAACTTATGGTTGCAGGGTGGGGGTAGGTAAGGGGGGAGGGATAAACTGGAAGATTGGGATTGACACATACACACTGCTATATATAAAATAAATAACTAATAAGGACCTACTGTATAGCACAGGGAACTCTACT